ACATATTTATGAATAATTCGGACCTAATTATGTTTGGATTGAAAGTAAATTAAAATCTACTTAAACTTAATAACGAAGTATGTAATTTTGTCACATATGATTCCGAAGCATGTCAGTCTGTCACCTGAATTAATATATAGGGGATGAAATAGTTGACCCTCGACCCTCGTAACTATATATTGAAACTCTAATTTTTTTAATAAAATAATTTTATATTAATTACCTATAATTGCGCGATATGTGCATTATGGGTTGGCCTATAGAATCAAGTGCAAGCATATGCAAATTAGGTTATTTATTATTTCACTTTTACCTGTTTTCCAATGTGGGAAAAAGAGTCAACAAGGATATGTTTGTTAATGGATTTATGTGCATTATGGGTTGGCATGGAATGAACAAAGAAATAATATAATCCATATTGCCATAACCTCTCTCTCTCTAACTAAGAATATTTTTTTTCAATAATAACTTTATTTAATAAAGATATAGATGAATGTTTTGAGAAAATATAAAGAGTGAATATGAAAATGCGTAATGTATTTATTAGCTAAATTGGGGTAATAATAAAAAAATATGTACAAAAATATCCAATACGACATTTATTTAATTAATGATTAATAAAGTTAAAATGATATTTAAAAAAAATAGGAGGGAGTATTAAAATAGTAGATAATATTTTGATATAGCTTTTTGGTCCGTTTTATTTAATTTTTTCCTTGAAACAACCGCCACAATAAATAATTGAATGCATGTAAGTTGTAAGAAGCCGAGTCATATGTTATGTTATGAACGTGCTTATTAATAAACTTAGTACAAATGTCGATGTTGTTAATAAACTTAGTATGAATATATAGTTATATACAGATATATCTTCAATGAAAAATATTGTTGTCATAACTTTAGAAAGCCTAACTGAGGAAATTAGTGTCTAAATCTAAAAAGACTTATATTTCATCTCCCGCTCAACCTCACATAAAATGATTCAACCTATCTCATGTGGTTTGCATAAAGATTCCATCTATAATCTCAGGAGCCTAATTTATTATTTCTAAACTCCGACTATAGGTTATGTTTGGTAGACAAATAAGCTAGCTTATATGTCTTATTTGGTTAGCTTATAAGCTTCCTATATTCAAATAAGTTTCGTTTGGTAAGACGAGTTTTTTTAAAAAAGCTCGAACTTATCTCATAAGCTTCTTTGGGTAGTTTTTCAAAATAAGCTCGTTGAAATTTTTATTTCAGCTAGCTTATCAGCTAATTTTACCAAACATTTTTATCATATAAGCTAGCTATTCAGCTATATATCATAATCTATAAGCTCAAAAACTACTGATAAGCTATCAGTTAATTTTATCAAACGTAGCCTTTATATAGCCTTTATATATAGAGACAAAACCCAAATTAGAAAATTGGATTAAGTAAAAAAAATAAAAATGAGGGCTAAATGACAAAATGATACTCCCAATTCCAAAAAGACTTAGGCAAACAAGAAACTACAGTGCTTTGACTGAAATTAGAGATTGATTGCACTCTTAAAGATTCCTCATACATAACCAGAATGAACAAAGAAAATGTCATTTTTTTCAAGGGCTAATAAAATCCCAAATAAACCACAGTATGCAGAGTTTAAACCCTAATTGAAGAAATTCAAGGAGTTTAAACCCTAATTAATCATGTGAGATCTACAATTTACAATAACAATCGTATAAGTGACAAACTGTGCTTTTGTGTTATCTATTTTGCTTGATAGTAAATAATTTAACTATTGTCACGTCATAGTACCTGTTGTGTTGTGTCTTGCCTATCGTATTAATTATCTCTATAATTGTGTTTTCCAATCGTATCATGTACGTATTTCATGTCGTGGAACCATATTGTCACCTCTCCACCATCCTTAGATTTAGCTTAATAAAGCAACTTTCTTTTTGTAGAATACATAACAATCACCACATTATTGTTCTATAAGAACTTTCAATTAACACAAACCCCCAAAAACAAGGGAAGACTGAGAAGTTAGGTCCAAAGTCATATCAACAACTAGAAACTAGAAAGCTTAAAACTTGTGTCGGTGGCTTGGGATGCAAAAGAAAGTGAATTAAAAAGAGTAGAAGCCATGATTGGGTTTCAACATAATGATTCATGATAGTCAAAAGTATATGGGCCTGCACGGCCCATCACTTCATCATTGGCCAAACATTACAATTTTAAAAGAAAAACCATTATATTTTAAAGAAGAAAAAAAAAAAAGGTTAAACACTCAATAGGTTTCTGTTTTCTTCCTAATTAACAAAAAACGAAAGTGACCAAAACTAAAAATTCATTTGTCAAAAACTAAAAGTCACAAGTAGTGAAATGTATGCTTATGTGCTATGCCATATAGAAACAAACAATAATGGGCCACTTGATGTTCTCAAGTACAGTACCTTACAATACTGAAGAGATAAGCCCATCTAAATACGAATAGGACCCAGATGAAATCTTATCTAAATCCAGATTCTGACCCACAATAATTCACTATTGAATAATTTGAAATTGTATCAAGAGGTGTTCACGGTCCGGATTGGTCTGGTTTTAGCCAAAACCATGACCAAACCTGACCTAACGGTTAATTTTTTTTTTTTCTTGTCCATGACCGGACCGGTTTTATTTTTAACCGACCACAAAATGAGGAAACAGATTTTATCTCATCACCTACGTAATCAGAATTTATCCTGGCAATTGGCATGTATTGTACAGTTTTCAGCTCAGCATAAAATAATTTCTTGTTTTGCTGATCATTTCTGATCATGATAGATGGTTCACAATTACTAATCTTTGTCAGGTTGTACGAGAGGGTACAATGATGTAATCTCCTCAGATCCCATAAGATGCAATACAGTTACATAATATCTTCAGATATGCAAGATGATGTAATAATGTTCTGGTGTGCAGATGAAAGAATAAGAGCAATAAAATACCTTTTTTTATTATTATTTTTCTTTCTTTTTCGTTCTCTTTTTCTTTCTGAATTAGTTGGAATTTCGTCCCTTCGTGAGTTTAATTGTGAAATTTTTGCACCACATCTTAGCCATAAGCATGCTTTGCACCAGGACGATACTCTCCGATTCCTAGCAAGTCCTGCAAGTAAGAAATAGCAGTGATTGTTCGAAAATGTAATGAGCGATGAGCAAACTAAAGGAATTCCTTCAAATTTATATCGCCAATACCAGTCGAGATTTAATGATAGCACCAGAATACATAAGAGTACTGGTGATTGCAGTAAGTGGATTTAGTATTGCACTGCTTTCTAAGTCTCAATGATACAATTGCTAACCGCTCGCCAGTATTAATTTTGTTCGGAGTTCATCACTAAGCCTCATTTTACCTCTCAACCATATTCTATTTCCTACTAATGAGCAACCTCATTGCGTGATTTCATATCCCATAATCCCAAATCCTTAGGAGGAAGTACAGTAAGGATGCACAATTGAATTACAGATCAACATGATCATTAATCTTCCCAGAGCAACTAATGGCATATATATATATATATATATATATATATATATATATGTATATTATATAAGATAACACACACCTGGCATGCTCTGTTCTTGGCTCGAGTTTCAGCTGTGCTTGGAATATCGTGATTGGGTTTTTGAAACTTCTTCTCCCTTCGTTCACATGAACCCCATCCATCTGAAAACCTTCCACCCCTGTCAACAATACAAACAGGGAAAATAATAGAATTCTAGTGTAAGCAAGGACTTTCTTGAAATGAAAGTTCACTCAACTTATGAAAATACCCAATGTTGGAGGAGAAATCAAGGAAACATACTGCATGTATGCACGAACAATGAACTCAGCACGCTGAACGTTGCGGTTGTCATCATACTCGATGGTCTTGTCTTTAATTTCATAAGACAGATTGAAGTAAAATGAAATCTTCCTCCAACCTGTTGTTGCAAATGAACCTTAATCTCTTATATCCCAGATTCACTTGCCAACTATAGTTCAAGGTGAATGAGTAATACAATCTTCAGTTCTACCTGACTTCTTAATATAAGGATTTCCAGATATCATGGTGTAGTCATTTTTCTCCAATATCTATCAAGAACATATCAAGACGAAGTTAATGTTCATTTGTACAACAGGAATAAAAAAAAAGGGCGCGTTCTCCCGAAAAATATGCAAAGAGAAGCTATAATCATCCAAAAGAGTCAGATTATGCTTCCATATGTGTGACTAACTTGAAAGCTTAAAAGCTGTCAGCTTATTCACATTTCTATTGAGGTCGCCAATCATTTGTCAAACAATGGAGGGTTTTCCATGCCATGAGAATAAGCACAGCCAAAGGTTTTGTTTTCTCTGCATTCCCTGATTGATCATTATGTATCTTGGGCAAAATCAGCTACTTAAAACCATAAACATGGGTGAACGGCATATGCTAATTTAAACGAATTCGGAAAAGAAAATAAAGGTTCATGAAAGGATAATCTCTGTTTTGCAACCTCTCCTTTGCACTATTGTCATGAAAGCCATAAACAACATTCTTAACAGATAATTTCACCCAATCGATACGTTGACCAAGTCCAACTTCAATGTAAAAATTAGCAGACAAACATGAATCATCCAGCTATAAATTGAACAGAAATCGAACTAAAAAACCTCAAGTATCAACGCAGAGAACATATAGATTAACATCTCACCGCCATAGCTGCATTTTGGTAATCCTTGAACAACGAAACAGTTGGAAACTGACCGGCCAAACAGTGCCTCGTCTCCACCTTCTCGTAACTCGCCGCTGACCCAATCGGACCATGAAAACTCGTCACTGCAGAACTACTCATTCCCATCGAGCCAGTCCCATACGCCGGCGAAGAAACCTCCGGCGTGCGGCTCACCTGCTTCACCATCGCAAGCTGCGGAGGGCTGGACGCGTGAACGCGCGGCGTCTCGGCCGTTCTGGGGATCTTGTGAGGGCGATTGTTCTGCACTACCTCGCCGTCGGGGCTGTGGTTGTGACTACGGCGGTAGCTTTGAGGAGAATTGAGGGGAAATGGAATGGGGGTCTGCGGTTTGGTGCGGGGTCTCCGGGTCACGGCGGAGGAGGCGGCGGCTGCAGCGGCTGAGTCGATTACCGCCCATAAAGCGGCGTCGTCTAGGTCCTTATCGTCGACGGCGAAGGCGATCGGCGAGCTCATTTATGGCGGAGCGATTCAAATTGGGGAAATTTGGATTTTGAGCTGTTTTCGAGTTCGATGTTGAGAGTGAGTACCGCGCCGCGATTTGAAACGGAAGTCAAAGAACGATGTCGTTGAAAGACTGGACTGGGCTTTGCTTAGTCCACTCAGTTATTTATTTGGGCTTCTTTATCGCTGGATGTTTTAAAGGCTTTGAGGCCTCTTTTTGGACACAAAATTGTTTAAATAAAAAATGTCTCGTCAAAGTGAGATGAAAAGTGACAAAAAATTATTTCAGAAAAATAAATAAATAAATAAATAAATAAGATGAGTTTAAGATTGTGAATGAATATGAGATAAAAAAATATTATAATGATTAAATATGATGTAATGTAAAACTAATAAAATATTAATAGTTAAAAATATGTAAGTTGTGAATAATAGTTTTCGTTGACGAATATTTTATAACGACTATTTTTTATTTTTTATGTAGGTTAGTAAGATTTTAGAAGGAAAAAAAAAAAATGAAATGAATAGTATTTGTATTTGTATGTGAAATCTTCGGTTTCTTTTCTTGTTCCATTGAGATAAATTTTTTTAAGTATGATATTTCAATTCGAAAAATATAGAACGGCCAAACATGTCAAACAACATACTACTAATTAAGATAATATGGAGCCATATGTTTGAAATATTTCTTGGATTTAGTGCCACATATTTCAATTATTCTTTTTGGATCGTGTGACTTTATTCTAATAATTTACTTATATGTTTGGATGAGTCTAAACAAGTTATGGAGATGTCCATAATTCAATAATTTTTGTAATATTTTATAAAGTCCTAAATTAGTACAATTTAAAAGTTTGACCAAATGTACATATCACGAATGTACGATTGTCTTTAATTTAGAAATTTGATGAAAATTTACATCATCACGAATGTAACATTGGCCGAAAAATTGCTGTTATAGTATACTTAAACTAGTACAACTGACCGCGCGTTGCGGCAAAATTAAAATTTATATTTTCCTTAACCGACTTCAACCAACTAGTAGTAGTAGTGAGCAAGGGTCGAACCCACAGGGTGTGTGAATCAAATTGTGAATTTTCTCGTATTAATTGAATTTATAAAAGCGGTAAATGGGGGGATTGGGTTTTGATAATTAAACTAACTAATAATACTAAAAAATATAAAGAAAGGAAATAAAAATAAATATAAAATAAATAAGAGAAATTTCTAGTTCACGGTTCCGTCTACACCCTCGACTGACTCGTCTAATCAATTCTGGCATCAAATCTCGCTATCTTATGAAATTACTAGCCCTAGGCAACGACACGGTCTGTTACCCGAATTTTTCCTTATTTTTAATCAAACCGCGAGACGCTCTACGGTTAGACCTGACTCCTTGTACAGTCTAGAAAACGCTTCTTAGATTTAATACAATCAGCCGCTTTACGAATTAGAAAAATAGGCTAGACTAAGTAGTGACGCGTTCGTTCACTTAAATAGGTCGTGTTATCCCCGGTAGTTACCATCTTCCGGATACCACTTGCGAATTAAACACATCAACAATTACGGATTGAAGGTCTAATTCAGGTGTAAATATGTAAAGCCTAATCTAGGTGATCAATCTAAACAAGACTCAACACATCATGGTTAATTTTTCAAAACAACACAAACAATTCCAAAAAGATAATAAAATCATGAACCATAATCAATCAAAACACAGTCAATCTTATTGTTCGACTTCCCCGGAACTAGAAAGAAAAACTACTCTAACATAATAAATAAAAATAAAAATATAAGAAAGAGAATAGAATTATCCTCTTTCGTGTGTGAGTGCGGCTTCCCTCTGCTTGATCGGGTTCCCGTCTTTTTCCTTGCCTCTGTTCTTTGTTCGCATATGTTCTAGCGACTCCCGACTTTTTTCCTGATGTAGGCGGCTCTGTCGTGAATGTCTATATATTGCTCCCAGGTATATATATTCCTCTGGCAAATAAGTCCTCCCCAAAATAACTTGTGAATTCTCTCCAATTTAGATGGTAGGTGGCGTGTGAGTGGGCTACTAATTAATTGATTTCATGGCATAACTTTGGGTTACCACATCTTGGCACTTTAATTTCAATGTAGGCCACTTCAATTTAATTCCAAATTCCTGCTCCAATTATATTAATTTCCTGGCCCATGTTACATGGAGTGCACGAGAATAAGTATATCCTTGGGCCTGCTGAAAATAATAGGAAAAACATCAAAGCAAAATAAATTCATCCAAATAATAAATAAGTCGAAAAATATATAAGTGCGATAAAATTAAGCATATAAAAATACGCTAATAAATATATAGAGTACACACTTTTTCCGACCAATCAACAACGTACTGTGTATTACACGGGTATTTGCTATTTTTTTCTTTAAAATCTGAAATTAATGAGAAAAATAGTTGAAAATTTAAATACTTTTTATTAAAATATATAAATTATTATATATTTAGTATGACACTTTTTATTTGTGTGACTTACTTATGTTATATTATAATAATGTCTTTACCTTACAACATATAACTACATTAAACATAAATATATCAAGTGAGAAATAATTTTATTTTTTTAATAAATTTTAATATATACTATTATTTTTTATTATTATAAAGATAAATATAATTTATTTATTTTATATATACAATATGGATGTCAAATCGAAGATGATGAAAAGATTAATTTGATACATTTTATATGTAAAACCGATAACAAATACAAAAGTTATCAACTTTTAAAATACATTTATAATTCAGTAGCTAATTGAAAGAAACAAATCAAAAAGTCAGAGATGTATTAGTCACTTAGTGTCTCAATGTAAAATTACAAAGAATTAAAGGGATAAATTAGTACAAGTGATATTAAAATATCTAAGTTTGCTAAATAATATTTATGGGATGTCCGAACCTAAATTATTAATTATTAATATATCAATATCATTTATCCAAACTTAATTACGAAATATGATTCTTCGCCAAGCAGGATTTCGATGCACCAGAAGCAGTCACGTAGGCTCAGCGCATTCGAAAATTATATATAGGGGAGATTGGGGTATTTCTCATTTTCTGCAGTAATTTATTAAGGTTCGAAATTGGTATAATAAATTTTAAATTTTAGCAAATTTGGTCCAAATTGTTCCAGTAACTCGATTTTAGACCAAATAATTGTCAAATTACGGTCTTTAGGATCGGAGACCAAAATGACTAAAATTGAAGAGGCATTGAATCAATTTCGGACCCCAATAAGTTAATGGACAAAATTAGAAAATACTCTAAGTTAATGGACTAAAACTGCAATTTTCTCTCTATCATGGATATTAAAGAAAAAAGTCAAAAAAAATCAAATTCACAAACTATTTGAAAAGTCAATAATTTTCATAATATTGTGAATTTGACCAAATTTACATCATAGAAATGTAATATCCTTAAATAATTTAGAAAATCAAATTCAGTGACTATAGTGAAAAGTCAATAACTTTCATAATATTTAATTTTAAAGTCCTAAATTAATGTAATTTAGAAGGCCAAATTTCATTTTTGGTCCATTATATTGGCCATTTTTCCAGAAATGGTCCACTAATTTGGTGGACATCAAACTTGATACAATAAGTTGTAAAATTCATCATTTTTGGTCCATTAATCACTCGGGAGACTACGTGGCGGACATCAAAATTGTCCACGTATTCGCCCGATAAAACGCCACGTATGCTTATGGACCAAAAATGATAAATTTTACAACTTATTGTATCAGGTTTGATGTCTGCCAAATTAGCAGACTATTTCTGAAAAAAGACCAATATAATGGACCAAAAATGAAATTTTGCCTAATTTAGAATATGACCAAAATTTACATCGACACGAATGTAAAGCCCCATGTCCTTGTATATAAAAACTACTCTTTTCAACTCTGGCGCCATATATTTTTAAGACATTACTATAGAAACTTGATGTCACTTTGTTAGTGGCCACAAATTAATTTTGCAATGCAACAAGGATGTTTTACAAGGATGATTCTTCAAAGTAAGGTAAAATTTAAAACAAATAATTTTCCTTTAATTTTGGTTATACATATTTTTTTTTTTTTTAAATTGACTAGTTAATGACAATATTGGCTGAAATTTCGAATTTAACCGAAAATTGACATGTAATGCGCATGCATTCCATTAAAATTTCCGTTGAAATAGATATTTCCAGCAAAAAGACATTATTCTCAAATTAGCTAGTTACAAAAATTATGGTACTATTATTAGTTAATCAAATTCTAATAAAATTTTATTTTTACACCATCTTGGACTATTTTCAATATTTCACCCAATCAATTATTAAAGAATGATGCAATAGTAGTGAACATTACTAGTCACGACACGTGTAATTCTAAATACATTTCTTTGTAACATATGGTTAGACAATTTATTTTTGTAGTGTTTGGATCAATGTGTCACACTTACTAAATCTAGAAAAAAAAGAAACAAAATTTAAATTGCAATTTGTATACACTTCACAATAAATTTTAATTGGTATTTAGTAGCCTATCTTTTTTTTTTCTACATCATAAGCCCATTAGTCACTATCACTAAAGTCATCTTTTGTGCAAAAAAAAGAATAGGGACACCCACACTAAGCGGAAAAGGGGTAACATCTTTGAAGTTGTAGGGTGCTTCTTTAATTATTTTCTCCATTTTTCTTTCACAATTGTTGTTGTTTTACTTTATATGATATTTATATTATATTAAATAATCAACATTTGATATTTAAGATATGTGTCTAGTTTGGCAATTAGCATTTTAGAGCCAAATTATATATAGAGGTTTTAAATTTACTGCTCCACATTCAGGTTTAGTTTCGTGTTTTATTCTGTTGGATAATTGACACGTGTACAAAAATGATATCATCAATTACACGTGTCATTCATCCAACGCAGTCAATTAGGTAATGAATTATGAAAGTGGAGTAGAAAATCTCATTCCGATGTGAAGGTGAATTAGAGTTTAATTTGACCCATCAAAATGTCTGATTTTTCTATTCGGTAAGTATTGGTTTCAAATATTTATTTTTTTATTTTTTTTTTGTTGTATCCCAATAAAGGCCAATTTTAGGAAAATATCAAATATGAACATTTTTTAACAAGTGAATGCAATCTAGTTATTTTACATTCAAACAACTAATAATTCTTTGTCAAATAATATTATGCATAATTAGCTAGTCCAATAATATTGTTATACATACAAATTCAATCAGCTATGAGTTATCATATTATATTAAATTCAATATTTAGAGGCTCGAGTCACATTATATTACCATATGTGATTTAATTTAATCCCTACAAAGTACAATATGAGGCTTGATCTGCGTAACCAAAGCAAACATCCTCTGTTGTCAAAATCTAATATACGATACCACATATATTTAATAATAACAGTGGTTGGATCAAGTGGTAAGCAGTGTTCGAGTCTTTGTGGATGCAGAAAATCCTTGTTGTGAGACTCACCCACCACTGCTAGGTGTGCGATCTAGGTCGACTAACGAATTAGCCAGGGCATAACTCTGGAATCATGGTTGGCTAAAAAAAATAATATTACACAAAATCACAAATGCCAGATTATAATAAAAAAATAAAAAACTAAGTACCGGTAACCGGATTAT